ACTAAGTTTAGACAAATTCTGATAAGACGGAGCAAATCTCAATATTGAGTCTAGGCAAATCCATTGCGGTGTGGCAAACCTCAGCGAGGACGCCGAGTCCATAGGTATGTGTGACACCCCAATTTAGGATAAACAGTCCATATTGACACCCCAGTAATGCATTTTAAAGTCATACATTCCAAATATATAATATCACTAGTGGATTGGCCGCTACATTTTCAATTAGTTATCTTTTATAATAAATTGAATATATAAATAAAATTGACTCTATATCTTCTCCATGAACACTTCCATTCGACTAACAAAATTTTACTTTCTTCATTTTATTTTATGCGACATCGGTTATTTTGACACTATATTTAATAAAAAGGAAAGATTTTTAAAATTTGTGGTCTAAAATAATTTTTAAATATTTGTGTGGTTATAAATCTTTTCATTAATTTTTTTTATTACAGTTAACTTGTTTTTTATTATGGTAGGATAAACGTTCTTTTTGCGAAGAAAATATTAATTCTTACGACCCACTCCACCAAAAAAAAAAAGAACAAAATGAGTATTTTGCACATAGATTAGTACGAACAATGCATTTAAAGAGTTTGGTGGGAATGATTTGACATTCTCTCTTTAAGATTATTAAGAAGAGAATTAGAAAAAGTAATAAAACACTTTTAATTTGTTAAAATAAATAAATAAAACAAATACTTTATTTTTAATATATATACAGATCAAGTAAAATAATACAAAATATAAAACGAAAAGAAGAATCAAAGAAGACATAAGCATTTAAAAACGTGTTTAGCTTCTTTCTTTTGTAACTATGTTCTGGACATAGGCATGCAGTAATTGATATTTGGTTGACCACTTATAATTCTAACTTGCTGAAGCTACACTAATTAATCGTTATATTTTTTTCATGTTATTTAAGGAATTCTGAATGAAAATATTTTTTCTTTTACTAATTTACCTTTAACTGTTTCGATAAAATTAAGATTAAATATTTACTTTCAAAGACAATTAATTTTAAAGGGAAAACGGAAAAAAATTAGTCCCTTCATATATTTTTATTAATCTACTATACTAAAAATAGATATCTATTTTAATATATTAATACATAATTTTTCACATAGTTCCTAATTTACTTTAATTATTCGCGAATATCTTGGCTAAAAACTGACATCAACGAGAAGAATGTTTAGACCGGATAAATGACAAATATTATTTTTTCGGACATAAAATTTTGAAGAACACATTTTTCGCATAAACACACAAAAAAAATAATATTAGTATACTATGATAATCATAAATACTAAGTTTATGTGAGTGACACACAATTAGTATCTCAATTAACCCATAAATGATGATGAACGATAAATCACGTGAAACTTAATTTAGCAAGGAGATTATTGAACTAATGTGAACAAAGTTCCATATTTGTGATTAAAAGAAAAGATAAGTTCCGTGTAATGTTGTTAATCGTATATGACGAAGTGGTGTGTTGGTTTTGATAAAATAACTAAAATGTTATTGATCGTCCTTTTTCTACTCATGTTTTTGACAGTTATGTATTATACAATTAATTTACTCAAAAGGAGACAGTGAAATAAAATCATCTTGTACTTTTGTTGTGATATTAAAGTATCTACTCAACTACCCTACTTTGCAATATTTATTTTTAACCCAACTTATTTTATTTAGTACTCAAAAGTAAAATATTTGGAATAAATATATAGTCATTGACTTGAGTCAATGGGATCTGTCAATTTATTTTGTCAATCGTCGGCCAATAACATTTTAAGTTGGAAGGCTGCAAAAGTTAAGCACATATCGAATAAATTTATGTGTAAAACATATTTTATATATTAAATTTGAGAATAATGAAATATTAATTTTCAAACTCGGATCGATTAAGATCGATGAAATGACTACAAGTTGATAGATAATTAATTTATAGAGTTTAGAGTTAAAAGGGCAAAAAAAATTGTCAAAAATTTTAAAATGGCACATCAATTTTTTTTTAACCAAAAGGGCAAAATCGGTCCTGATGGAGCGATTTCCTTCTGACAAAAGTGATGCCGTTACTCCGCGTAAAATCGCTGCCTCAGCAGCGATTTCGTCCAAAAAAAATTCTTTGTTCTTTAAAATCGCTGCTGTGGCAGCGATTTTGTCAATTTTGTTTATTTTTTAAAAAATTGAAATAGCTGCTATAGCAACAATTTTCTTTAAAAAAAATTTTTTAAAAATTAAATAATCACTTACCGGACAGCGATTTCACTAAATTCCAAAATCAATAGAATAATATTAAGGAAATTAAGCTGAAACCAAGGATGTGCAATCACTATTAATCATTTAAGCAAATGGCAGTACAAAACACTTCAAGGCAGCAATATATTTAAAATGCAAAATTTGAATGAAATCGCTGCTATAGCAGCGATTTCAATTTTAATTTTTTTTTTTTAGAAAAATGCTACAGGGGTAGCGATGTTAATTTTTTTTTGACAAAATCGCTGTCGCGGTAGCGATTTTTATGTTTTTAACGAAGTAATGACGTCAATTTTGTCAGAAGAAAATCGCTCCGTCAGGAGCGATTTTGCCCTTTTGGTTAAAAAAATAAAATTGATGTGCCCTTTTGGAATTTTTGACAATTTTTTTTACCCTTTTGGCTCGGAACTCTTAATTTATATTTGAACTTTCTTTTCAAAGCTACTCCTTTTGAAATTAAATTAGTTGTAGCACTTTGAGTTATAAGATATTTCATCGATTTGAGTAGTAAGTTACAAGATATTAGACATTTTTTTATATGATTTAAATTTCTTTTATTGGATACTTAATTAATTTTAGTAGACTCAATTCTTGAGTCCCATCTTGATTAATAGATTTTCACTGATGTATAATATAAGATTAATTGTCTTTGTTTAACTCTATTTTATAATACTGTAAAATAGTAGAATGAGTCTCTACTCTTGTTGTCTTTCTTATTCCCTTGACTCGTCACTTTTTAAACTATTAAAGCCTCTAGAGAGTTTTTATCAAAATCCTACTAAAGTATATATGCTTAATATCGTATTCTATCTTCTAGTTCTTACTCTTACATAATAATAACAACAATAACAATGAATAATATATTGAGTGTATTCTCACAAAGTAGGATTTGAATGGATAAAATGTACAAAGAATTTTGTCTCTATTTTAGAGTTGAGGTAGAGATCATGTTATTTCTGATAGACCTTCAGCCTAAAACAAAAAAAATTCTAGAAAAAGACGTAAAAAAAGTATAAGAGACAATAGATAATAACAAAATAATAAATAGTATAACAGAACAATACTACAATAAAATAATATAATTGAACTACACAAAATCATAGATAGCAACAGAAATCGAGAAACAAGAAACTATAAAAATAGTCCCACGACTACTTGTAAGGACAACAAGACAATGCACTTCTACCTACTAGTATGAACGCACTCCTACCTACTAATCTGCTATCCTAATTTGTGTCATTCACACCTTGCTACCATAATTTTTAACAAAAAAAATATTAAATGAACCGATCGATATCAAAGGGAATGCAAGATGATGAGACAATTTCGAAAAATCTAATTTTGATTAGGTAAAATAAAATAATTAAAAATTAATATGATATAAATTTTGTAAAATAATCGATCGAACCGTAACATTGTACCATATCCTACATGTATCCCGATATTATCTTCAATTATCTGTATTTCTTCTCTTTTTTCTTCTTCTATATAATAGGTACTTCATAGCAATGAAAAATTCACAAAAAGCCAGAGTTGAATAGACATACAACTACTAGAAGAAACAGCCAAACCAAAGAGGTAATTTTCTGCATTTTCTCGTTTTATGCTAAACACTATCAATTAATAATATTATTTTATACCTCAAGTTGGATAAAATAGGGTTGTACGAAAATCGAATCGATTGATAAATTGAGTTGTAAAACGCTATTGAGTTATTGGGTTAACAGGTTTTTAATAATTTTTGTAACAAAAAATTATCGAGCTATCACTTTGATTTTAGTTTCCTAATATTGAATTATTGGGTAAATCGATAACCCAATAAGATATTAGTAATTTATCACTTTACCCATACATAAATATCAAATATTAATCTCATTATCTTATTGGTTAATGCATTTGCTCTTTAGCTTTCAATTCACACTTTACAATGATTTTAAGTTCACAATTTCACATTATCAAAACATCAAAACATAAAGTAAGAACTCTCTTCTTTTTAATTTTTCTTTGTGTTGCACTAGTATAGTTCTTTTCATGTTAGTTATTATTGTTTCTATTTTATGAGGGTTCTGTAAAGTTACATTATTGTCTTATTATGTCACATTATTGGAGAAGTCATATATTTGTTTTATAAACATTTTATTTTAACCAAACCGTTAAGGACCAAAATCGATAAAAAATATCTTATTGATTTATTATATTTAAAAATAAAAAATTGATAAATCGAACCGATTATACATAAATCAATTACTCTTGTTCTACGCTAAACAATTACTCTTTACTCTTTGGCTATACCTCAAGTTGATCAATGACATGATTTACATAATATTTTCTAGTGTAAAGGGAAAAGTGAATGGGAAATATGAAAAAAATACAATTGCTTCTGTTTCTGTTGTTTACATAATATACTCTAGATGTTTGCTATTTCGCGTAATTTTCTCAAAAAAGAAAATAAGATAAATAAATTAAAAAGGAGAGTGTATGTGTTTTTCATTAAATCAGCAAGTGTATTTACTTCCTGATCTTTTTATTTTTAATAGATCAAATTAATTTCTTTTCTAACATATATTTGACAAGACATAGTGAGTTCTTTTCATAAAGTAATTAACATGAGATTACTAAAAAGAATGGTTCTTTTTGTAGGAATTAGACTATTAGAGTATTAGAAGAAAGGGGGATGACACACTCTACTGAGATTACCTCAACAGATAATTAAATTCCACTGCTTTTTCAATTGAATAAAGATGAGTAATGGTGAGGTAAGTTTTAAAGTCACATTTTGTTTTGAAATTAAAAAAAATCAAATTTAGATTTTTTTTTAATTCAGTCTATTAACAAAAAGAAGTAGACGTATATATACATTACTTTTTTTAACGAGAGATGTATCTTATTTATATTGTAAAGTTGATCGTATTAAAAGAATATGTAATTGCTTGCTTATTGCATAATTCTTCTAATAAACATTTTAAAATTTCTTCAACTCTTTTCCGTTACAGATAGAAATGATGAAACAACATCATTTAATCGACGTAGAGGAAATAGAAGAAAGGATTGATGAAATGTTTAAGAATTTAAGCATTTCACCTATTGAATCGCGTACCATATTCAAAGTAAACAAGATGTTACGTGAATTAAATTCAGATGCTTATACACCAAAGATGGTCTCTATTGGTCCTTACCATAAGAAAAATCCTCAACTTGATCCAATGGAAAAGTACAAAGTGTCATACCTAAAACGGTTTCTTCAACGAAGAGAGGGGCTTGATGTAAAAAAATACATCAGTGAATTGATGACTCTGAAGGAGAAAGCACTAAATTGTTACGACGACATACAAGACTCTATAGAAGACAATAGTGAATTTTGCCAAATGTTGTTGATTGATGGTTATTTTGTGGTTGAGTTTATTCGAGAGCGTAGTAAATTGTGTCCAGAAGGAGAAGATAGGATTATCATGAATGCTAATCGTGCAAGCTACATATTTTGAGATTTGATGTTACTAGATAACCAACTTCCTTTCTTTATCCTCGACCACCTTCATCACATGACAAAGCAAGTTGATGAATCGTCATTGCTAATATTGGTGAATAAGTTGTTCATGTGTTTTGCTAACATGCAGGTACATGAACCCTATAGAGAGACAAAATGTAATAATGTTGAAAATATCAAACATTTACTTCATCTAGTACACATATTTTCATGTCATAGGAATCCCAAAAAAGAGTCAAACGATGACATAATGTATTCTATGGTCATGCCAAATGCAATAGAACTTTCAGAAGCTGGAGTTAGCTTTTCAATGTCCAGAGATATGGCAAGTTTAATGGATATAAAGTTCAAGAATGGATTGATGACAATTCCTTGTTTACGAGTCGAAGGTGCAACAGAAACCCTCCTGCAAAATCTCATTGCTTATGAGCAACAATCATCTGATGTACAAGATACATATTTCAGTGATTATGCAACTTTCATGGATCGTCTTATCGGCTCAGACAAAGATGTAATATTTTTTCTTCGCCAAAAAGGAATCATAGTGAACTGGACAACAGATGACAAAGAAATGGCTAGCCTATTCAATAAAATCATAAAAGGGATCACTAAGTATTCCGTCTTCTATTACAAAGAAGAATTCAAAAAAGCAGTTGAACATTGTGAAAAACCATGGAACAGAATGAGGGCAAATGTGATGCACAATTATTTTAATAAGTCTTGGGCAAGAGCTTCAACTGTGGCAGGCATCATACTCTTCATACTCACAACTATACAAACTATTCTAGCTTTTATGGGTTCCGTTAAGTAAGTAGTAATTGTTTCAATTCCATGCATGTAATTTATAATGGAATGCTAATTAGTTTATTTCAAGCATCTATCAAATTTGAGGTTTATTAATTGTGTTTCTCTTAGTTTATTTTAATTTCAAGGAATTATAGCCCACGAATTACAAAATGAGTTATTTAATTAATTATATGATTTTCGACTTAAATCCTTTGATTCCTATATTTGTAGTTGAACAAATTTTCAAGCCCCAATCATAATTTGCTCTTCTTAGCGAAAATTGTATATAATAGCAAACTATTAATTCAAATTAAATGATATAAATATAGTTTGATTTAATTGTACCCCATAACAAACTGTTGTTATTTCGTCTCTCTCCTGGTGAATCTCGCTCGCCACTCTCATTCTCTCCCTCGCCTCTCTTGCTTTTTATACAAATGCAAATGTATAAAATGCATTTGTGTTTGTATAAAGCGAGAGAAAATTGTATATATACATATATTTCCGTTCCCCTCTCTCCCCTCTCCTAGATCTCGCTCACCACTCTCCCAGATCTCGCTCGCTCACTCGCCTCTCTCAATTTATACAAAAACGCAAATGTATAAAATGTGTTTGTATTTGTATAAAGCGAGAGAAAATTGTATATATACATATTTTTTCATTCCCCTCTCTCCCCTCTCCCAGATCTCGCTCGCCACTCTCCCAGATCTCGCTCGCTCACTCGCCTCTATCACTTTATACAAACACAAATGTATACATTGTGTTTGTGTTTGCATAAAGCGAGAGAAAATTGTATATACAAATACAAATGCATATATTTTCGTCCTATACACTTATGATTATACAAATACGATCTTCCCCTACCCAATTTTCTTTTGTCTTTCTCTCTTTCTCGCTTTATACAAACACAAATTATATAATTGATCTTTTGTATATGTATACCAAAACAGATTATACAACTGCTTTCTTTTGTATATGTATAGCGAAATTATACATCTGCTTTTTTTTGTATATGTATAGCGAAATATACATATTTATGTTTGCTATAGAGCGCAATTATTAAACTATAGCTATAGCATACAAATATAATTTTTGTGTTTGTTATATGTGGAAGTTGCTCATTTTCTTAAGCCTGTTAAATGGGCCGGGCCAAGCTAGCATATACCTTTCCGATATATCATATCGGGTTCCCCACTAACGGGCCGCGTAGGTATTGGTCTCAATAGTAATTCCAACAGAAAAAAAAAAAAAAAAACCAATATGTGACCTGTTAGGCAATTCTGCCGGGCCTAATGGGTCGGGTCCAGATTTTGACCCTCCGGGCTAACGATTCGGGTCAGACAATTTTTTTAATCACCATTTATTAATTCAAAAGTTTGAGTTAATTATCAATATAGTGTGTTATTATCTATTTAATTTTGTAATAATTATAACTATTTTAGACAATAGATTGATTACATTTTATAATTTATATATATATACTTATAATATAACTAAAATCACACACAATATTATATATATATATATATATATATATATATATATATATATATATATATATATATATATACACGCTATATATTATCTATTATAGTAGAATACTTACAGTATATATATATATACCTATAATATATACTAAATGTACAACTTAATATAATAGGATACTTTCATGATATTATACACTTACTTCTAATATATACTAAATATACTACTTGATCCTTCCTCTGTCCCTTTTTACTTGTCCAATTTTGGCTTTTCACTTGTCCCTTTTTACTTGTCATTTTTGACAAATCAATAAAAGACAATATTGTTTACCTATTATACCCACAATTTATTTAGAGGGTTTTTTTTAAGGTTGAATCTCAATATTGAGTTGCAATTTCTAGTACATCAGTTACACACAATATATTGTGACAATCTTGGAGCCACATTCCTGAGCAAGAATCTTGTCCTCCATAGTTGTCTGAAGCATGCTGCCGTGAACTTTCACTTTGTTCGCCACCATGTTGGTATCATACGGGTTTGTGTTGTTCATGTTCATGTGAAAAATAAAGATGATTTTTTGGAGGTACAAATAATTCTAGATATTTAGTAGAATTCTCTAGAGTTATGTAGAGTGATATATCTAAGAGTTGTGTAGATATTCTAGAGAATTAGATATTTATAGTAAAGTATAGAATAATTTAGATTCTTGTTAGATAGTTAGAAGATAAGGTCATCTAGTTTTTTCTTGTAGATCTTTCTAGAATAATTTCTAGAAGCATCCCTATACTAGTATAAACAGGGGTGGCCATAGTCATTTGTAATCAACCCAAAGAAACCCAAGAACAACTCAAATCAAATAGTCTTCTTCTATAACAAAGTTCTTTTTATCCAAAAAATTCCTTCTCCCATCTAGCTCCATCTTCTTTAGTTGAATCTTCCGATTTTAGTTAACGATCTTGGGCTAGCAGAAGGTTTTCCGAATATACTTTTCTTCTGCTATTCTCTACAGTTCATGGTGCCAATCAAATAGCTGACACTCTCACCAAGGCACTGCCTAAACCTGCATTTGAGAATAATCTATTCAAGTTAGGCTTAGTAACCCATTGCCTAACTTGAGGTGGCGCATTGGAACATCACAAGTCAAGTTAGTTATTTAGTCGTATTAAGTTTCAGCAATCCCTATCCCTGTTTATTTAGGACAATGAATTAATATTTTCAGCAGTTATTGTCTAGTTAGGTTTCATTACTTCAATCGTTTAGGAGTCTTTCCACTATAATTCTATTTAACAACTTTCTGTCTTACATTAATAAAATATCGTCCTTCAACTTATACTCAATCTTTACAGCTTGCTCCGCACTACATAAAAAATGATCATTAGCGATAATTAATTAATGGAAATAATTTAATTGCTACTAAATATGTTTTTTAAGAGACAATTAACATTCTTTGTAAAGCCTATAGCGACATTAGATCTAATGACAATAAACAAATACCCATAAATATTTTAACAAACTTTATTATGTATTATTAATTACTGCTAAATATTATTTTTATCTTAGTGCGCCTCGTTTGCAATCCCTAATTCGACTAACAAAATTTTACTAATTCTCACATACACACACCACCACCAAAAATAAACCGAGTATTTGCACATAGTGCAGTGGTTAAATATTAAAAAAAATAAAATGTGTAAAACAATATTATTTAGTTATTTGTCTTAAAAAAATCAACATGCTTTATTAATGTTTATTAATTACTGTTTGAAATTATTTTTATCATAGTGCACTCCATTTGCCATCCCTAATTGGACTAACAAAATTTTACTAATTCTCACACACCACCACCAAAATAATAAAGAAGAACAAAATGAGTATTTACACATGGTGCACAACGGATTATGGTTAAACATTAAAAAAATTATGTGTAAAACCATATTATTTATTTATTTATCTTAATATAAATTACAAATACTGAATACGAATTTTTTAAAAATACCTTTCTACCCTATTAATTATTAGACTGATCAATATTGGCACACTACATTTAAAGGAGAGTAGGAGACTGTGGTTTGGTGGAAATGTTGAGAAGTAAGTGATTAATGCTCTTTTCATCATTTCATATTATTTGATTCATGTTGACTTGACACCCTTTTAAAAATTATTAAGGGTAGTATAAGGAAAAGTAATAAAACTATTTTAATTTATTAAAATAGAAAAGTAAAATAACAAAAAATTATTTATAATATAAAAAATAAGTAAAATAAAACAAAGTAATACATCAAAAAGAAGTAAAACATTTGAAAAACGTGCTTCTTTCTTTTGTAATTATGAATATGAATTATGGACATAGGCTGCAGTGCATGAATTGTATAATAATTTATTAATAGTGGACAGCTTGTAAAATTAATTTTTACACCTAACTTTCTATTTGCACCGAAAGTAAAATATCCTGATAATATATATATATATATATTACTATATAAGAAGAGGGAATAACTATTCACCACAAATCAACATGTGTTTCAATAAGAAGAGGGAATAACCAATATATTTATAAAAAGAAATGATATATAAAATAAAATGGAGAGAGTATTGGTTTTTGAAAATGGAAAAGGACAAAACACATATAAAATTAAAAGACATATAAAAAAAAGTTGGTTTAACTCTCAAACATAAAAAGTAACATATGTTATTAAAAACTTTAATAAAAAGTACAATAATTTACAATAAATAATAACTTCAAATATCTACAAGACAACAAAAAAAAGACTAATTTTTGTACTGCTTGTGTCACATGAATTAGGATTGGGATGATTTTAAAATTTTTATTTTGGTTAAACATTATAAAATAGCCGAAAAATTGAATGATATAATTTTTAAAAAAATAACCGAATGAATCGTCCTATCCATAACCCTAATGTTACTTCTACTCTGTTTATTTTTACTTAAATTTACAAAGATATGCTTCATTTCTACCCTCAATCTTATCGCTACATTTATTTGCTATTTAAAATTGAAATTAAAAAGACAAATGACAAATAAGTTTCTATATTAGCTCACTTATGAGCAAAATATATTATAACAATCTTTACTAATTTTATAACAATACATAAACTATACTCCCTCCGTCCCATATTAGATGGGCACTTCCAACTTTACACGGTGATTAAGAAATCATTAATAAATTGGAAGACTTCACCATTTTGCCCTTTGTTTATATCAATGCACATTGAAATGAGTTACAAAAAATACACATACAATATAGGAATGCTCATATTAATTGTAGGGGTAAAATGGAAAAGAATTAATTAATTCTATCCTAATTTAATAAGTGCTCAAATAATATGAAAAAAATATTTTTAGTAAGATTCTCATCTAATATGGGACGGAGAGAATAACAATATAACTTTATTAATGTTGGACTCGGGCAGCGCCCGAGCTTTCTTTACTAGTATATATATATATATATATATATATATATTAGATTTACCGTATGTGCGTTGCATGCCTCTGTCTTTAGTTTGATACACACATGGAAAT